ATCTCCTTAGTCTCTGACTACATGCTTGCCTGTCTGTGGATCAGCTACTTGTTTATCAATCAGTCGGCTGTGGCCTGCATGAAAGCACATGAAAGAGAATATAAAAAGAAAAAGGAAATGGAAGGAAACCTCTGGGACCTGTGATGCTTTATTCAGCACCAGAAGGACAGAACTTTCATGGGGAAAATGGAGGTGGGCCACCTTGAGAGTCTGGGTTTTATATGGCCTTAGTGGAGCCAAGTCATTGGAGGAGCTAGTTACTTTTGGCAGGCCCACTTGACAGACCCTCGACATCTCTGTACCCAGACTCACCTTGGGCCTCCCAAAAAATGCAGGTTCCTTTAATTCCCTATCCTTGCACTGGCTGGAGCTTTCAGCCCTGCTGAAGCATTGCTATGCTACTGGAGATTTTTTCTTTATTTTATTATATCCAACATCCTGAGTTCCAATACTGCTTTGAATGTCTAGTTTTAAATTCCAGTAAACTCCCCTGCATTTTTTCTTGTTCACCCATCTTGCTGAGAAGCTGCCTGTCTACTTTCTTGGTTTCACTCCATGGAGCAGCCAGGAACATGACTTCCCTCCTCTATTCCACCATCTCCTTGGACATCTTCAGTAACCTGTTGTGACAACTTTTTATAGTAGCAAATGGAGGTTCCTGATCCCGTTGCTCCTGTGCCAATCCTGGTGCATATGTCTAGCCCTATGAGTAAGGGATTAAACTGAGGGCTTTCTTGTGTCTGGTGTATGCCATTATCAGGATAGACAAACTTTTGGTCATTAGGTAAAAATGTCAATTTGAGGAGTAAGAATACTAAGATACAGAGGCCAATCCAATTTTTCAAAGGCAGGAGTAAATATGAGCCTCACAAAGGAAAAAAAAAAAAGCCTCAGAATTTTGGAGGTACCAGTGCTGTGAGGCTGAAACAAGTCAGTATGTCTTAAGTTCTAGTAAAAGAACTATTATTTTTTGTTTTAAATGCCCACACATGGCTGTACTTTGGTTATAATTTTTTGCTAGGTGTTCAAGACCAAGCTGGTCAAATTGACCTTGTTCCTGTCTATTGTTAATAGTCAGCTGAGTCCACTCAGGGGGTCACTCTTTGGAGCTTGTGAACAGCCTCTTAGCTCCATTAGTGCCATCTGCAGGATAGGACAAGGATCTTGCTGACCATTTGACTTCTCTTAGAAGCATAAGGGATGTCTCCCTTTTCTAATGACCCTCCTCTTTTGCAGCATGTGCACTGGACAGTTTTTTGTTCTCCAGAGTCTCAGTGATCCCCCTGATCAGGGAGTCATGTGGCCCAGAGTTACAAAGTTCTTAGAGAAGTTCTCTTATTCCCTAGGTTCAAGCTGACTCAGAGGGCAAGAGCTGAATATTGGCTATGTTTCTTTCTTGGCCCTTTTACTTCCTTTACTTTAATCTCCAATCCTTGGTCTTAAACACCTAGCAACCAGTCTCACCATTTGTAAAGTAAGAGTACTGGGCTTTAACCTTAATGTCTATAGTGTTGCAGTCATTTTAATTTAACCCTTCTATTTGATTGCAGTCTGCATTAGGACTGGAAGTTAGTCTTACCTCCTGTCTGTGTGTAGATGATGGCCTATTATCTCAAATTAATTTAAGTTGTTATATTGAAAGTTGTACTTCTGTAAGACACTAATAGATGACATTCAAAGTTTATAAGGGAAATACAAGATAAAATTAACAAGAGTAAAAAACTTTGAGTTTGTGTAATAACAATGAACTAAGAAATGTAACCTCTATAATTTTAAACCTTACTTAGTTATATATCTCCTGTTTATTTTGTGATCGCATTAATCATTATAACAAAAATTTATCTTTTGAACATGATTTTAAATGAGTTAAGTCTGGCCTACTTTAAATTATTTTAACATGGAATAAGGTGAGACGCAGAGTCTTAACTCAGGTGAGGTGGGACTCATGGCAAACCATAGGTAAAGTGTTTTATTTCTAAAATGATCTTTGCTTCTTTCTTAAATATCATTTTATAAAGTTTACACATATTGTTTCCTGAGTCTATATTAATGTTAGCTAACACAATATAACATTACATCTGAAACATGTAATATTAACCTTTAAACAGATCAGGCTTTCATTATCTTTTGGAAATACATTTAAATTTCTACCCCAGTGTAAAAAGTAGCATAAAATTTTACATATATCATGGGCTGGGATTGTGGCTCAGTGGTAGAATGCAATAAAGGTATTGTGTTCATCAACAACTAAAAATATTTTTTTTAAAATTTACATGTCTTATTGATAACAGGTCCAGTTAAAGAACATTAAAAGTCTAAAACGACCATTACAAAAAACTTTAGAGAACAACAGCTTGATTAAATGTTCTTTTACATCTCCTATTTGAAAGACTTGTATTGCTGAAACACAATGCAAAGAAAAGACCACTGACTCCAATTTAAACCAAATTAAAACAAGTTTATATTGTGTACACAAGAGTGCTGGCCAGTGGCTGACTCAACCTGGAAAATCAGGGCCAGAGGGCTGCAGCTGGTCTTATTACGGAAAAGTTTTTTATTAAAAAAAAAAAAAAAAGCGGGGGGGGGGGTGTCTTGGGAACTTACACTGACAGGGTTCACTCAAGCAAGTACAAGGGCAGATAGCAGGTTTATGATCTGCATTGTTTAACATCTTAATGTAGGGAACAAAGTCAGATTCCAACATCAAAGTTAATGAGGAACAGCTGAGATTTCAGGGAGGGTTGTTATCTGGTCAAAGACAGCTGGGCACAGATAAGTTCAAAGCACAGGCAAAAATCCCAAGCAAGTTTTAAAACATCAAATTATGGTAAGACCAAATAGAAATCTCAGTGTTTTACAGTAAAACAGAAATAAACTTAGGCTAGGTCCATCATTATACCTGGAAAATATGAATACACTTATTATACTAAAAATCAACAATAGAACCACAATTACATCGATGTTGTATATTAATCAACTTTAGCTTTTAAAGACAAATCTAGACTCTGTAATGTAGTGTAATACCCAAAAATAGAAGTTGTTTGACCAGAGTTATACAAACCCTAATTTTCTAAAGAATAAAACTTAAGGGGCTGGGAATATAACTCAGTTGGCAAAATGCTTGCTCCGCAAGCACAAGTCCCTGGGTTCAATCCCCAGCACCACAAATAAATAAATAAATAAATAAATAAATAAATAAATAAATAAATAAAATAAAGAATAAAACTAGACATAAGAGATTGTCTTGATACATAAGAAATTCTTGTTACTTCAACCATAGAGGATTAAGCTTTGGTTTATATCAGCACATTAAAATTTGACATTGGGGGAAAAAATATTTTCTGGCCTTTTTCCTGCCACAGGAGGGGAGTACAGGAGAAAATTAGTCTTATCAGAGTCTAGAAAAAGTAGTCTAATTTTTTAAATGACAGTAAAGCTAAGAGAGCTCTATCTTGAGAATCTCCCAGTTTCACGATCTGGTCACATTATCTCCTCCTTCGGGGAAACTTGGTTGCTCTTATCAATATTATTTGGGGCCTGAATTTCTCCTTCAGTGAACAGGTAGTTCATCACATATAACTAAAAAGAACAAATTTTTTAAAATTTTTAAAAAATAAAAGGTTCCAAGGAGTGCTGGGTGTGGTAGCGCAAACCCATAATCCCAGCAGCTCAGGAAGCTGAGGCAGGAGGAGGATCACAAGTTCAAAGCCAGGCTTAGCAACTTAGCCCTAAGCAATTCAGTGAGACCCTGTCTCTAAAAATATATATATATATATACAAAAAAAGGGGGAGCTGGGGATGTGGTTCAGTGATTAAATGCCCCTGGGTTCAATCACTAGTACCAAAAAAAAAGATTCCAAGAAGAGATCAGGCATGGCTGGATATGCAGATTCGCATGATGTTGTTTCACCTCACTCCATCTCTCAGGGTTCTTTCCTCTGGATTGACTTCCTGCTCAAACAGGCAGGCCCTGCCTCATGGTGTAAACAAGCCACCAGCAATCTTAGCACTTCAACAAAAAAAAAATGAATTTTTAAAGTGGATTCTTCATGGAACAGGCTTGGATTGTACAGCAGTCACTGAGTCAAACATTGATGCCAGATAATGGAATATTCTAACATATCAGGCCTCATTCTCAAGTCTACCCTGAGAAACAGGTAGTAGTCTCAAAAGGAGAAAAAACCAATAAACAAATATTAAGAAAATGAAATGGGGGCTGGGGTTGTAGCTCAGTGGTAGAGTGGTTTGCTTAACACACTTGAGGCACTGGGTTCAATCCTCAGCTCCAAATAAAAATAAGTAAAAAAAAAAAATAAAGGTATTGTTGTCTATCTACATAAAAAAATTTAAAAAAGAAAAAGAATATGAAATGATACTAGGCATGGTGGTACATGTCTATAATATCCACAGCTCGGAATGCTGAGGCAGGAGGACCACAAGTTCAAAGCCAGCCTCAGCCCTTAGTGAGGTCCTAAGCAATTCATTGAGACCCTGTCTCTAAATAAAATACAAAAGATTTAGGGAAGTGGCTCAGTATTTAAGTGTCCCTGGATTCAATCCCTGGAGAGAGAGAGAGAGAGAGAGAGAGAGAGAGAGATTACCATATGTATATTTCATATATGTGTGTGTGTATCTATGTGTGTGCGTGTGTGTGTGGTGTGTGTGAAATAAAAACAACTGAAGCCTATCATCCTTTTCATTTCTTTCTAGGAGGGACACTGTGTGACAAATGGAAATCATGAGGCCACAATACACTTTCTGGTGCTGCCTAGTTTACAAAATACTCCCCTTGTCCTAAGGAACCCTCACAACCAGCTCAGGAGGCAAGTGGTGTCGCTCTACCCCTTATAAAGATGAGGGAATTGAGAGTTACAGGCATGAAATGGATTGGTTAAGTCTTCAAACAGGGAAGAAACCAAAGAGAGACTACAGAGAGGTGTGTGCAGAAAAAGAGAAAGTAGACACTGAGGCCAGGCAGCTTGCAGTGTGTGACTAGCTCCCCCACCTGTTCCATCACCACCTCCTCCCTTTCCCCTCACAAGCTGCAGCTGGTGATAAGGGCCTCTCTCCCTTATCATTCTGACTCTCTCAGTTTCTACCACCTCTTTTCTCTGCCCTTTACTCATGCTCCAGCCTGTTTACTTCTGGATCCTGGAACCTCTGGCTCACCTTCACTCCCTGCCTTGCCATGGATCTGAAGAAGTGTACCCGCTGTGCGGGGCTCTCCCTTATATCTCTTTCCCTAGTCTGCATTTTGGCCAATGCCCTCCTACTGGTGCCTGATGGGAAGACCTGGAGAGCTGACCAACTCAGCGTGCATGTCTTGCTCCTGCCTGGCTTCATCGGCGGGGGATTGATGGTGAGGAGTCTAGAGCACAGGCCAGTCATCAGGGGTGTGGGCACAACCATGAGGGGTTCTGAATGGGAAGGGAGGGGAGAGGGAAAAGGAGGGAGTTCCAGAGGGGATGGAAAGTGCTGGTGAAATCTACCCAGCAGATTCCACCCTTCCCGCTACACACTCAGCACTCTGTAGACAGCCCTGGAAGAGCCCCCAAGGACCTGAGATGAATGTCTAAGGGAAGGGAAAGTCAGGGAGGGGAGGCTCAAGTCTCTAAAGAGCTTTGCTTCTGGGTCAAAGCATGTCCTATCTGCTCGGTCCCACCACCCTCACAGCTGAGCAGATGATGGAGACCCCTCACTACAAAGGTCCAAGCAGAAGCAGCAGCTGGTTGTGTGGAAGGTTATCAGGGGCAGGGCAATAGGCATTGGGGGGTGCAGCAAAAATGTCTGGAGCCAGGCAGTGATACACCCATCAGTCACTGTACCTCTCAGCTCAGTGTTGCCTCTCCCTCCTCCTCATCCTCTGACTCTCAGCCCACATTCTGGATGCTCACTCTGTGCTAGGTGCTAAGGACAAACTCAGAAGCAGGTCAGTCAGGCAGAGAAGTTGCCCCCAAGGCTTCCTGGAGATGAGGATCTGCTGGGAGAAGTGGAGGAAGAGAAGACACAGATTTCCTGGACCTCCTCCTCCTCTCTTTCCCCATTTAGGGGAAGTAGTGTTTATATGGGGCAAAGATGAAAGATCTACCCAGCAGAGTTTCCCTCTTTTCAGGACAGATGACAGATAACATTCTCTAGAAGATGTCTTGCCTTTGTCCCTTTTCTGAATCACACCTCTATTAGCTAAGCAAGGATACTTCTCCTTAACCTAGCAACTCCCTCTTACCTTCTGAGGTCCCTTCTACTTCTCATCCTTTGCATGGATTCATAGTGTTGGACTTTTCTCTGTCTCTCAGATCTCAGCTTCCTCTGAGATGTCACACTCCCCCAGGCCTACACACTCACCCAGTGTCACCTCATGTCCCTTCTCCAGCCTAAACTACCTCACACTCCTCCACCCAGTCTACTAGTCCTTTTCAGGGGTGATCTCTAAGGGTGTGCATTCTCACTCACAACTGTCTTCCTCCCCCTATACACCTTGAGCCACTCCCAGGAAGTACCACTTGACATCACAGAGACACAGACAAGGTCCCTGCTCCCCTTAAATCTTGGGGTTTCTTAGAGGGGGCAAATGGTATGAAGGAAGCAAGACGTAAAGCCCCATGAGAGCCAGGACTGCCTGTTCTGTTGGTTGCTGTGTGCCTGGTGCCTAGACCAGTGCCTTCACCTAACAGGAAATAGGTTAATAATCACTGAATGAAGGAAATAAATATGTAAGATGATTTCAGACAGCAGGGGGTGCTATCAAAAATAAAAATAAATAGGACTGGAGGAATAGCTCAGTGGTAGAGCACTTATCTAGCATGTGTGAGACACTAGGTTTGATCCCCAGCAATACTGCAAAGAAGAGAGAGCAAGAGAGAGAAGTGGAGAGAGAGTAAGCCAGGAATGCGTGGTAGCCCATACCTGAAATTCCAGTTACTCAAAAGGAAGATTATGCCAGGTGCAATGGCACATGCCTATAATCCCAGCAAACTTGAGGCAAGTTTGACAACAGCCTGGGCAATAAAAAATTAAAATTAAAAATTAAAAGGGCTATGATATGCTTTGATGGAGAGTGTCCCTACATTGAATTGTCCATGCTACCAAAATAAATAAATAAATAAGAGAGAGAATAAAATCATAAGTTTGATTGAGGCCAACCTGGAAAATTAGATCATATATATGTATACATATATATACATATGTGTGTGTATATGTATATATATGAATACACACACACACATTTACACACAGAGAGAGAGAGAGAGAGAGAGGACACGCACACTGGATGTAACTCAGTGGCAGAGTGCCCGTGCCCTGGATTATTCAATTCCTAGTACCACAAAAATAAGTAAATAAATAAATAAAGCTATTATAAAGAGGTAGGGCAAGAAGTTAAGGATTTTTGTTATTTCTTTTTGGTTTTTGGGTTGTGTGTGTATACGTGCATGTGCGCTGGGGATTGAACTCAGAGACTTGTGAATGCTAAGCACATGCCCTCCTAGTGAGCTACATCCCCAGCCCCAGTTCAATGAATTTTTACAAAGTGGACATACCCACATACCCAGCACCCAGATTAAAAACCAGTTCATTCATGCACCTGTAGTCCCAACTCCTCAGGAAGCAGAGGCAGGAGGATCTTGAGGCTGAGACGAGGAGTTTCATGTCAACCCTGGTAAAATAGCAAGACCCTATCTCAAAAAACAAACAAGCAAACAAAACACAGATTGTTATTACCAGAATCCCACACATGCCTCTCACCAGGTACTACCCCCACCAACAAGGGTAATGATTATTCAGTCTTCTAACACCATAAACTAGTTTGGTCTGTTCAGTACTTTATTTAAAATGAAATCATACACTATGTGCTCTATTGTGTCTGGCTTCTTTAGCATAATATCATATTGTGAGAGCCATCTGAGTTATTTTGTGTAGCTGTAGGTTTTATTTTTTATGCATGCCATTGTGTGAATATACTTTAATTTAAACTTCTACTGTTGATGGACATTTAGTTCCCAGTTTGAGTTTATTGCAAATAAGGTCAATAACAACCTTCCTGTAGGCATCGTAGGTGAGCATATGTGTTTATTTCCACTGTTACTCTTAGGAGCAACACCGCTGGATCTTAAGGTTTACAAATATTCAGTGCTAATACTGGCAAATAGTTTTCTGGGAGTTTTTGGATAAATTTAATTTCTATCAACACAGAGTGAGAGTTGTTACACTCCCCACTGGATTGAAGTAGATCCTCTAGCTATTGTGTGAAGAATGAATAGTAGGAGGTCAGCCATAAATGCAGAAGATGGGAGTAATGACATAGAGGGGAAAACAGTACCTTGAAATAGGCCAGTGGCCATGTGATAGAGAGAAGTGGGCAGATTCAAGCTATATACAGTGTTGCCTCCTGAATTAATGATGACTCTTCTCTTTTCATGAAGACAATAAAGACAGCAGGGAGGAAGAAGGGAAGCTTAGACCACAAAGGTAGACAAATACTTTGACCAAAAGTAAAACTCTCAGATGGTTCATTTGAAACTGGTAAATCTGGGTTGGGGATGTAACTCAGTGGTAGACCATTTATCTAGCATGGCAAAAACCTGGATTAGATCTCCAGCAACGCAGCACACCACACACACACACACACACATACACACACACACACACGTAAATCCAGAGGTAATTCTAGGTATCTTTGCATCCTAGAACCTCCCAGTAATTGACCTCACCAGCAAAGGGGACTAGCACTGGCCCTGAATCTGCCTGGACACAGGAGCAGGGGAGCAAGAGTGCTAATGGAAGTTGGGCACAGTGGTACATGCCTGAGGCTGAGGCAGGAGGATTGCAAGTTCAAAGCTAGACTCACAAAAGCAAGGTGCTAAGCAACTCTGTGAGACCCTGTCTCTCAATAAAATACAAAATAGGGCTGGGGATATGGTCAGTGGTTGAGTGCCCCCAAGTTCAATCCCTGGTACCCCACCCCACCCCCCAAAAAAAAGTGCTAGTGGAAATTTTGTTCAACTCATCAGGTTTTCTCTGTGGTTACTGGGGATGATATAAGAGAACTAAAACTCTCAGCCCCAACCCTGGAAAAGAACCAAATGCTGCCTTTTATGGTATATACCAATAAGGAAGGAAAGATCAAAACATCTGTAGAATTCCAGGGATGGGAGATGAACAAAAAACCTGGCTGGGCTATGAAGACAATGACAAGGCTGGAGGCAGAGTGAGGAGCCTCAAAGGACTTGTTAGGATTTAGAAGCTCCCCTCCCACGGGGCTTGCTGGTGCTAGCCTATTTTCCCAGAGGCTCAGGAGGCTGAGGCAGGAGGATCACAAGTTGAAAGCCAGCCTCAACAACTTAGGGAGGCATTAAGCAAATCAGTGAGAGCCTATCTCTAAATAAAAATATAAAACCGGGCTTCAATGTGGCTCAGTATTTAAATGCTCTTGGATTCAATTCCCAGTACCAAAACAAAAAATAAAATAAAATAAAATAACACCCCCACCGTCCCCAGATTGAACCCAGGAACACTTTCCCACTGAGCTACAACCCCAGCACTTTATTTTTATTTTGAGATAGGGTCTCCTTCTGTTGCCGAGTTTCTGGGTACAGAAACCAGAGTGGTTGGGTTTACAGGTATGTACCAACGTACCCTGGCAAGACCAAGATTAATCTGGTGGTAGCATGTAGGAAGAAGTGTGGGGTGGCATGGGGCAAGAGCTCCGGGAACTTAGTAGCGAGGCTAAGAATATCTTCCACATGGAATTTGATTAGAAATTGAATAGGGAAAGAAGGAGAAAGGACTGACAGATTCAGGAGCCACTGAAGGAAGAGTCAAAAGGACTTGAGATTTGACTGGGTGCCGAAGGATTAAAGTTTTTCCAGCCTAGGTGACGTGGTGGATGATTATTTCCCAAAATCAAAGGGAGATGAATTTGGGAAATAGTATGAGTTCACTCTGAGACAGGCTGAATCTGAGCTAAAACCAAGACATTTGAGTGAACACATCCTTCAGGCAGTTGGTTTTAGATCTCCAGGCATGTGGAGGTGTCTATTGGCAGAGGGAATAGCTGATTCCCTGGAAGGGGATGAACTTTGTGAGAAAAGTCACAGAAAAAAAAAAAAAAAACAAAGATCAGGGGCTGGATCTTAGGAAATCCCACAACCCACATCACAGCATTTGTGAACACACTCTACCATATCCTAGCTCACCAGACCTTCCAACACCACTACCTCTTCCCACTACTGAAGGCATTTATAGCTAAGGAGAACTTATTGTAAATCAGCCTTGACATTAGGCCCACCAGTTACCATTCAATCCTAAGAACAACTATGTGAAGGAGGTTTCACAAACCCCTTTTACTAAGACAAAACTGAGACCCAGAGAAACCAATCAGTTCATTGAGCATGAAGTAGTGTGGCCCAGGGCCTCCATATTCCCAATTCAGAAAGGCATGTACTACATGCCAAGAATTAGGAGGAATATTTAATAGTGAACCCAACTCTCAAGGAAGCTGCCATATGGCCAGAGATAAGGTAGGTACATAAATAATGATAAAGTCAGGTAGAGCCCAACCATGCTCCAGGACAGGTAGAGGTAAGGTCTTCCTACAGTCCAAAGGCCTGAGGACACCATAGGCAGCTTCCAGAAGAGGTGAATATCTTGAAGACCTAGGTTGGGGTGGAGGGTTCACACTATCACACTGACTCTGGTCCCACAGGTGCTGTGGTCGGGAATCGTAGCAGCTCTGGCAGCGGTTGCACATCCAGACTGGGTGAGATTCAAATTAAGAAGAGCTTTGCCAGGGCGTGGTGGTGCACACCTGTAATCCCAGTGACTCTGGAGGTTGAGGCAGAAGGATCTCAAATTCATCCATTTAGCAGGATCCTGTCTCATTAAAAAGAAATAAAAAGGGCTGGGGAAGTAGTTCAGAGGTAGAGCACTTCTAGGTTCAATCCCCAGGGCGCCCCCACCTGCCCAAAAAGGAGAAAGCGATTGAGGATTTGATCTCTGAACCAGTCTCTCCTAGAGCCACAGCACCCTCTACAGAGTTCCTAGCCTCCATGAATCTCTGTTGGCCCTTAGTTTTGCCTAACTCCAAGCCCCAGGTTTATAGGAAAATGTATTTTCAAGCACTCTGTTACAGGACTGCATCTCCAGCCCCAGGAATGTATTTCAACCTGGCTCCAGAGGAGCTTGGCAATATAAGGGACGGAGCTAGGTATCGTCAGGCCACAAATGGGGACAGGGTGGCCCTATTCAGCCCACCTTCCACACCTGGTCCAGATTCCACATTCCTTCTTGTGCTCGATCTTCGGAATGCTTGGTGCCATCTACTGCCTCTCCGTGTCAGGAGTCGGCCTCAGAATTGGACCCAAATGCTTCATAAACGGCGAGTGGGACTACCACTTCCAAGAATCCGAGTAAGGCTTAGCATCTATTAGTGACCCCCAGTCTCTGCATCCCATGATTCCCATGCTCTTCCTACGTGAGTGCCACTGAGCTTCAGGAGAATTCCCTCCATGTGGGTATAACTAACCAACCCTTTGAAAACCCCACCCTGCCAGTGGAGGGGACTGCGGGTGGGGGTAGGGCGCCGGGTGATCTCCTTCACTTACTGGACCCTACCTGTCCACAGAGGCGCTTACTTGAAGTACAATGCTTACTGGAATTTGTGCGAGGAGCCACTCACAGTGGTGCCCTGGAATGTGACGCTGCTCTCCTTGCTGGTGGTTGCCTCCTGCCTGGAGATGGTGCTGTGTGGCGTGTACCTGGTGAACGCTATTATTTTATCATTTGATTGAAAGTACATGAAAGCGAATACAAAAAGAAAAAGAAAAATGGAGGGAGTGATGCTTCTATTCAGTTCCAGAGAGGCACATCTGGGGAATGGGGTGGGGGACATCAGGTCAGCATGAGGATAATCTGGGTTTTACAGATTTTTAGCTGAGCTAGGTCATGGGAGGTATCAGATCAGGCAAGGGAGGCAGCGACCAAAGGAGGCAGATTTAAAAGGGCCGCTGAATGAGGCTTTATTCAGACATCACTCCCGGTTGGAACTCGATCAGACCCACAGAGTGGACAGGGGAAGGGTCTGAGGAGAAACCTCGTGGAAGCTTGACCGGACTGGACTTTTATGGGGCTTACAGCAGGAAGGGAAGGGCTTGGGACAGGAAAAGGTGTTTTTAGGGTCCCTTGCCCCCTTGGAGGTGGTCAGGGGAGTTGGCTGAACTCCAGGACTGGCCAGGGGGTCCTGCTGATTGACAGGCGTTAGTCAGGAGATCTGGCTGATTGACAGGTGTTTCCATTGGCATCTGATTGATGTTCTTTTCCCATTTGGGCTGCTTTGTTCTAAGTCACCACCACCAACCTAACAGGAGGAGTTACTTTTGGCGGGGCCCCTTTGGTGGCCAGGTAACGGGAGGAGTTTAGAGTGGGGCTGGAGGACAGGTAGGTCACCATATTCTTCATTGTCCACTTCACGTTTTGAATGTAGCCTTCCTTGCTCTGAAGCCTCACTCCCTTTCTCTTTTCCAAAGGGCTCTCTGCTCACTGAGCCTCCACTGACTGCCAGGTTACACCTGTTTCTCCTGGACCCTTTCCCTGGCCCGCCCACTCCCTGTTTTTCTTTTCCTCTACCTCTCCCCCTCTCTAACCTGGGGGAATGGGGGTGAGGGGAAGTACTTGTCTGCCAGAGGACCTAGGAAGTGAATATCTCCCAAATTAACAAGTAAATCCTAACATGCTATCAGGACTCCTGGGACACCCCCCACCCCAATCAAGGCACACCTGGAATGTAGCCCTTTGAAGAGCCTCTTAAAAGCCCTCTGTTTTCCCTGATGGGCAGAATCACAGCCTCTGGGACAGGACTCCCCCATGTTTCTCCTTCACTAGCAAAGCAATTAAATTACTTTTACTTTTTTCTCAAAACTGTTAAATTGGCACTGGGGACAAGGACCAAGTTTTGGGTTATATTATTGGTGTCATTTGTGAGAACTGGAGGAAAAAGGAGGTGGGACAGCATGAGGAGGAGTTGTGGCAGCTTGCTCCTGGCTAGGTCCTCACTCCCTTTCTCTTTTCTGAAGGGCTCTCTGCTCACTGAACCTCCACTGACTGCCGGTTACACCTGTTTTCCTCCTGGACCCCTTCCCTGGCCCACCCACTCCCTGGCTCACTGGAATAAACTGTTTTTTGTTTGTTTGTTTGTTTGTTTGTTTTTTGAGAGAGAGAGAATTTTTATTTTTTTTTTTTTTTTTTTTTTTTGGTTTTTGGCCGACACAACATCTTTGTATGTGGTGCTGAGAATCAAACCGCATGCCAGGCAAGCGCGCATCCCCAGTCCCTGGAATAAACTGTTTTGAGTCCACCTCCAACCCTCCCGGCTCAGATTACTCCCTAAATCAGCAGGAGTCTTTGAGGGCCTCCTGAGCTTGGTGTTCTCCTGCCCCTGTTGGAGCCCCTACACCCCATTTGTTTTGTTTTGAAAAGTTACTGAGCTATTAAGTTGTGCAGGAAATACAGTAGTAAACAAGGCAGATGAGTTCTGTGCTCTCAAAGAATTGAACATTCCAGGAGTGAAAAAGACAATTTTTAAAAAAGCAAAGGATTATTTTAGTTGATAGTTAACACGTTTTAATTTATTTATTTAATTATTGTTCTATTTTCAGTACTGGAGATTATTGAACCCAGGGCCTCACACATGCTCTGAGTGCACTGTCACACCATTGAGCTACACACATCCCCACCCTTTTTTGTTGAATTTTCAGACAAGTTCAGCTACATTGTCCAGGTTAGTCTCCAACTGTTGATCCTTCTACTTCAGCCTCCCAAGTGGCTGGAATTACAGGTGTTTACCAGGGCACCCAGCTGTAAAAGCTTTTTAAAAACACATTGGTAATAGAATAGATATTAACTGATGGAGTTATTGTGTTTTTGTTTATTAATGTTTTTGTTTTTTAATGACAGGGAAAAGTCTGAGAAAATGAGATTTGAGCTAAAATCTGAAGGATGAGCTAATCATCTAGGTACCTGGGGGATTCTAGGCAGGGAGAACAGCAATGAAGGACAAAAGGTCCTTAAGAGTATTTAAAAAGTCAAATTTGGATTTAGCAAGGGGGGGGGTTGGAAACTATGGAAAAAGACACTTTAGCCTCTTAAACTCTAGAAGATAAAGACTTAAAGCTATTGTAGCATTGTCACCTCCTGATTTGGCAGAAGTTTCTTAACCTGAG